TTATCAAGATCTTATTCAGCACTTCTTTGAATTTTCAAAGGATTCATAGCTGAACAGCCATTTGAGGAAATATTTGGAAATGATCTCAAACAATTCCTGATGAAGTAAATTTCAACTTAAGAAAAGTTCCTTGTTTACTGCTGATATAAAAATAAGTCTACTGAGAAATAAATCTCCCTGCTTATGAGGAGCCGTGAGCTGCAGAAAACAGCACAGATTGGTGCACCATCAAGAGACAATTTCAGGAATCGTACTGGGAAACCTTACCAGGTGGCATTTGTTATACTGTGGATCTCTGTAGTTAGGAGACTCTGTGACATTCAGAGCTCTAGAATGATCCATATATAATACGTATATTTTACATATTATATATAAATTTTAATTCATCACAGAGAGTTTCATATAACAAGTCCACAATAAAGAAATCGCCCTAATACGATAGCTTCAATCATTTTCAACGCACACAACAAGCTAGCTTTGCTTCTGTAAAGCAGAGAGGTTTCTGGGTTGGCAAGATGGCTCAGTAGATGAAGGTGCTTTCAGCTAATGCGGACGACCTGAGTTCGATCCCTAGGGCATACATGGTGGAAAAAAGAACACCTGCTTCCCACAAGTTGTCTATGACTTCCACATGTATGCCTTGGTATGCACATGCACACACAAAATGAATAAACACAAAAGGAAAAATTTTAAAGGAACACGTTTCTACCATATAAAAACTAGAGACATTTATTTCCTACTAAATGGATATAATAAAGCATTAAAAATTCAATTTTTGATTAAAAGATGTTCTCCAGGGCTGGGAAGATGGCTCAGTCAGTAAACTGCTTGCTGCACAAGCAGGAGGACAGGAGTTCGAATCCCCAGAAACCCTGTAAAAAGCTGAACACCATTGTGTGCACCTGTCCTGGGTGATGGCAGGCCAAGCCCTGTAGCTCCAGCCAGCCATGCTAGCAGAATTTATGAACTACAGGTTCAATGACAGACCTGCTTCAGAAAATGAGAAGATAAAGGCAATCAACAATCAACTCAGGCCTACACACACACATTTGTATACACACATCCACACACACTCACAAATGTTCCTTACATGTACTCTGTAGCTGTACTTTTTAACCCATCTACTACGACTACTGGGTTTTTTTTCCCCATAGTAACTGAAATAAATTATTGAAAAACAGTAACTCAGCTATAGAAAATGTTATGCTCAGTATATATTTAAAATGACAAACATTAAGCAGTGTCAGTTTTGTGATCTTATCCAAAGGTGACAATATTTAATAACTTAGTGTTCCATCATATTTCTGAATCTTTGAGAATTCAGGTGAAAATTTCTATTTCGTGTTTTATTTAAAATAATGTAGAAATTCACTACAGGTTATCTAGAATTACCAAACATAGGAATTTTTCCAAGTCCAAATATTAAAATATCATAATCTCGCCGGGCGGTGGTGGCGCACGCCTTTAATCCCAGCACTCGGGAGGCAGAGCCAGGCGGATCGCTGTGAGTTCGAGGCCAGCCTG